GAAGCATAATTTTTCATTTCTCTGGTTGTACACAAAGTAGAGTCATACCATTTGTGTCTTCATACATGTACCTAGGATAATGATGTCCATCTCATTCTACCATCTTCCCTACCCCTATTCCCTTCTCTCCTCCTCCCACCCCACTGTCCTATCCAAAGTTTCTCCATTCTTCACTTGCTCCCACCTCCACCCACACTATGGATCAGTATCTACTTATCAGAGAAAATATTCAGCTTTTGGCTTTGGGGATAGGCTTATTTCAATTAGCATGCTATTCTCCAACTCCACTTATTTACCTGAGAATGCCATGATATTATTTTCTTTTAATGCTGAGTAATATTCCATTGTGTATATATACCACAGTTTGTTTATTCATTCATCTATTGAAGGGCATCTAGTTGATTCCACAATTTAGCTATTGTGAATTGTGCTGCTATAAACATTGATTGTGGCTGTCACTGTAGCATGCTGTTTTTAAGTCCCTTGGGTATAGACCAAGGAGTGGGATAACTGGGTAAAATGGTGGTTCCATTCCAAGTTTTCCAAGGAATCTCCATACTGCTTTCCATATTGGCCGCACCAATTTGCAGTCTCACCAGCAATGTATGAGTGTGACTTTTCCCCCACATCTTCACTAACACTTATTGTTGTTTGTATTCTTAATAGCTACTATTCTGACTGGAGTGAGATGAAATCTTAAAGAGTAGTTTTGATTTGCATTTCTCTAATTGCAAGAGATGTTGAACATTTTTTCATATATTTGTTGATTGATTCTATATCATCTTCTGAGAATTTTCTGTTCAGTTCCTTGGCCCATTTATTGACTGGGTTGTTTGGGGTTTTTTGGTGTTAAGTTTTTTGAGTTCTTTATATATTCTGTAGATCAGTGCTCTATCTGATGTGCATGTGGTAAAAATTTGTTCCCATTCTGTAGGCTCTCTCTTCACTTCACTGATTATTTCTTTTGCTGAGAAGAAGCTTTTCAGTTTGAATCTATCCCATTTATTGATTCTTGATTTTATTTCTTGTGCTATAGGAGTCTAATGACTTATCATCACATTTCCATAGTCCCACATCCTCTATTCTCACCTGCTTCTGATATCTGATTTTATTTTCCTCTTCTATTATGTCCTAGTCACAGAATATATTCTAACATTCTTCAGTGCTAATGTCTATAATGCTAATATATATTTTTCATAAAATCTAGGTATTGTTTTATTGACATTATAAGTAGCTACCTGTTTCCCATTTATTCCAGGGAATTTGTGGGTAACTGTTATCATTCTGCTTTACTATGATTTCAATTGATTCTGTTTTTCTCCCTCATCCTTAATATCTTTAATAGCATAAGTTCTCTTAACTGTTTCCAAAACATATACTGAATCTGTTTACTTCTTTCCATCTCTCTTGCTACCATTTTAGTCCAAAACACTATCATCGCTTGCACCTAGAACAATGTGGCCACCTGTGTTGTTGCAATACTTATTAACCCCCCCCCCCCCCGCAATACATTCTCCATACTATACCCATAAAGAGCTTATTATAACACAAATTCAATCACATTACTTTCCTCCTCAAAGCCTACTATGGCTGTCCATCACAACAGAATAAAATCCAAACTCCTTACCATGGCCTTACAAAGCCCAACATGAATTATGTATAACTATAATCACCAATAAAAAAGGGGGGATGAAGAAAGTGTGCCCAACATGATTAGGTCCCAGCCTACCACTTCAAGATTCTCTCTCTCTTGCACATTAAAGAGCTGCACTGGTCTTTTGACCATTTCAGAATAAGCCAAGCTTGTTGTTATAAGCCTTGGGAACCCTGTGCTCAAGCATTCCTTTGCCTGGACACTTACTTTAGATCTTATAGCTCAGCTCTTCCTCATCATTCAGGGATCCATTCAGGGATCCTCTTCAAAGAGACCTTCCCTGACCACTCTGGTTAAAGCAGGGCTTCCAACCATGTTCTAGTACCTCACCCAGTTTTATTTTTCTTCTAGCACTTATCACTACCCGAAATTTTCATCTAATTATTTCCTGTATATCTTCTTCCTCATAACTAGGGACCTTGTCTAGCTTGTCTGCTATTATAACCTATGCCAAAATAGTTCCCAGGACATTGTGAATGAAAATAATTGTGTATTGAATGAATGACCTCCTGAGGCCTTGGTTCAGAATTCTTTGTCTCTGAACAAAAGTTTAAGTTTAATAACCTGAGTGTTGTATATGTTTATTTAGTCATACTATGCTTCTTTAAGAAAAGCATATGAACAAAAAGCATTTTATTCACTTGTAAATTTACATTTCTTCTTCTTTGTCTTAAAAATATTATGGCTAGGATGGCTAAGGACTCTATAAATATAACACAGCCAAAGAATGCGAAAAAAGAATCAAATTATGTTAAACTTCCCAAACTAAGTTGTTTCCCAATCATAAATGTATCTGTTCATGCTATTTTCCTTTAAAAAATGAAAAAAATATCTATTTTATAGGTGGAACTCTTAGGGATTTAGATTTTGGAAAGTTAGTTCTTCTTCTTAATATTATAATTTCCATTTTGATTTGATTATCACTACCTGAATAAGTGGAGACTAAATCTGCATCTATGTTAAAAGTACTTAAATAAATTCCTTATGGTCACATGTTCCTATAGGTCATTCATTCATCAACACACATGTGCATTAGCCACATTTTAGGCAATGTGCTAAAGAGGCAGAATGACTTACTACTGTTTCTGCTCAGGCGGAGAAACATGGAGGGACAAAACAAGGCTACTTATATTAAGCTCGAGAGGTCAGGAAAAGGGTCTGAGTGGAACTCTTGACACCTGGGAAGAGTATTGCCATAAATGCATAAGAGATAATGGGAAAGGAGTTCCAGATAAAGTGGGCAAATATCAGAACCACAGAGCACATGTGAGGGATGGCCAAAAAGATGAGGCTGAAGTTAATGAAGTGCCCTGTATTCTTCACTAAGGGATTCTAATCTGTGCTATTAGGTACTTATATGGACCCTTAGGGATTTGTACATACATTCTCAAGATTGAGATTTCTGTAGGAGAAACCTTTCACTTTCAGTCTGACAAAAATTGAAAAGAAGGGAAAAAAAGATTTTTTTTAAAAAGGGTACTCTGGGTCATCTGGATGACCACTTTTAGTTGAGTGTTACAAGATTTCAGTTCACACATTTGGTTCAGACACATTTGTGTCACATTTGTTGCACCACTTGTCATTGGTGCAGGATGAGAAAGAAATGGGGACTATTATACATAAATGTCATTTTCAAATGAAGGTTCAGTGAAGTTATGAACCAACAGGGTACAGTGATGCATGCCTGTAATCCTACCTACTCAAAAGCCTGAAGCAGGAAGATTTCGAGTTCAAAACTAGTCTTAGGAAACTTGCAAGACCCCATTTCAAAATAAAAAATTAAAATGGTTGGGAATATAGGGCAGTAGTAAAGCACTCCTGGGTTCAACCAAGTAAATAAACAGAAGTCATGACACACCAAATAAAGGAAATTTTTGCAGTGGTTTAACAAAGAAAGGAACATCGAGTGATCTCTTGACACTAGGGAAAATGGATAGGCTTTTCAATAAGGAAGAGGTTTACTTTGAGAAGTCTTTAGATCCAGCAAAATATTCTTATTGGACACAAGGTGTAAGTATTCATTTGAATTTATTGATTTTATAGTTTTGCTTCATTTTTAAATGCTTAGGTGTTATAGTTGTATAAAAATACAATATAAAGAGTTTATACCTAGTTTCATACTTGATTTTATGTTTAACATACTGAGATATTTTAAGTTAGAATGGAGGATCCTGGGTACCAGTTCTGGTTTGAGAAATTCTGCTGTAAGTGACAGGGAACCACTGAAAGATTGTAACATGCGAACAGCTTTGTGCTTTAGAAAAATCACTCTGGAAGAAGGGAGCATTGGAACTGAAAGTACCAAACTGAAAGAACAGTTAGGAGGCTACTTAATAATATGATAAAAATGGTAAGGCCCCAAATTACTCAATGAAATGAAGATGAGACAATAAGAGAACAGAAGGACTTGGCTGTGGTGAGGTAAAGGGAGACATCTAGATAGAATGACTCTGGCTTGGGTGTTTTGGTGGTGAGATAAAGACCACAGGAAGACAAACAAGTGAAGGCAAAGAGAAAGGAGAAAAGAGAGAGATAATGAGTTCAATTCAGCAATGACTTCAATTTCATTCCAGCCAAAGAAAATCCAGTTATGTTTTCTGGGTTCTAGTTTTCTCAGTGACAGCTGCATTCATGAATTACCAAATTAACTATTGTAGTGCTGTCTAAAAATAAAGCACTCCACTGTATGCTCTAAATAAGTCATGAAAATCAGCAAAAGCCAAGCTCTGAAGGAAATGCATCAAGGTTAAATAGAGATATGATTTTTTTTTTTTTTTACTGAATTTAAATTGTGACCCAGCGCACTCACCAGTACTGTAATTTTTGAACTGCCAGTCATACATGATCACTCACCTTCCTAGAACACCTAAGTACTAGATGGAGATGCAAAGACCTCTCTCAGGGACCTACAACAAAACAATGGGACAACTTCTGGCTTAAGATTATTGAAATTTTAGTGCACTGGAAACTTTGAACATATAGGCAGGGCTAGTTAACAAAGTATGCTATCTTTTACTTACAGAAATCAAGGTGGAATATCTTAGGTAGTCCTATAAAAATGTAAGCATTTCATATTTTATTCCCTTTAAGTGGGGCAGGGTATGGGATTGGAATGGAGAGGAAGGAAAACGCAGCAATTATCGCAATACCAGTCATTTTCCCCAGGCCACACAAAAGGCGGGCCTCTGAGAAGAAGAGTAATTCAATCCTAGTTTGGTGGGAAAGCCATCATCTTTCACCACTAATCATAATACAAAAGCAAAGTGTTTATACAAATAAAATGTTTAACAGTTAACCTCATCCACGACGTCTAACGAGCGGCTGAAGGGAATGCCTCGGGGCGTACCTTTGGAGAGTGGTCACACTCGACACAGCCCCTGCGGGCGCCTGGCTTGAGCCTCCCAGAGCGAAAGCCAGGGGCGGCAGGAGACGGGGTACCAGAGAAGCAATGACCCCTGAGTGCAGCACAGGAAACTGGACCAGGAGGCGGCAACACAGCGCCCCCAGGGGTCTTCCCTGCGCGCCGCTACCAACCAGAGAAAGCTCTCGAGCCGCACAGCACAGCCCACACCTTTGCTGGACCCAAGAGGGCGTTCTGAAGGCGGGGCCACGGCATGCTGGGGCGGGGCTGGGGCAAGAACACGTTTCCTGTTGCCTGATGGGAGTTGTAGTACAGGAGGAAGCCAGCGTGCCCTGGGAACTACACTTCCCTCTGAGGTAGCGGCTACGGCAGGCCGCGAGGTAAAGCGGCTTTGCATTGTCCGCGGGCGGAGAGCGTCTTAGGGGCAAGACAGGAAGGGGGCGTTTTTTTCTTCCCCTCTTCCCGTTCAGGTGGTGCGTGCTTTGCGTTCCCTCGCCAAGTTACTGGGTACCCAGTACCCGGCTACCCGGTTAGCTTTCTTTTGAGATTCGGAGGTAGCTGTTTCTGCCCTACGTGGGAGTGAGGGGCCAGCCCCTCTTCGGCCCAGCCAACCCTGCGCGCCGATCGCTCATCCATGGGCCCAACCCGGAAGTCCAACGTGTGCCGGAGGCTGAGTCGCCGGGCGCTGGGCTTCTTCGCGCGCGACGCAGGCGTGGTGCAGAGGACGAACCTGGGCATCCTTCGGGAGCTGGTGTGCCAGGTGACCTCCCGCCGGTCGCGGGCAGAGTGGAGGCAGCGGGGCGCCTGTGGTCAGACTTCCTGCTGGGGTGCAGTTTTTGCATTATAGGGCTCCCTTTTGAGTGTGTTTCATGTGACGGGAAGGGGGAATACGTGTCGTGCACCTGGGGGATTAGTAAATAGGTGTTAATAGGGCCGCCATATGGTTTTAGTTTTAAGCTGCTTATGCCTTCCCGCAAACTGTGTTTCTAAAAGTTGGGCACCCAGTTTAACCTGAACGCGAGGGCAGGGTGAGGAAGAATTCAAAATGTTTTTAAATAGCGTATGTGAAATTACTTTGAAAATGGTATATTTACCCTACTTAAAATGGATGCACAGAGTAGAAACTTATGAATTCTTTCCTAAACCGAAATCCCTTGTATTTTTCAGGAAAGTACTAAATTTAAGAATGTTTGGACAACTCATTCCAAGTCACCTATAGCTTATGAGAGAGGAAGAATATATTTTGACAATTATCGGTGCTGTGTTAGCAGGTAAATTTTTAGTGATAATTTTTCATACTGTTGATCTCATCGGTAAGTTTTATAGAATCACATGCTTACATTAATGTACAGGAAAATAGAAGAAAGGGAAAATAGGTCCGAAATAAGACTAGGCAGTAAAATGCACGTAATTTAAAAATCTTAAGTCTAAAATTGTGGGTTTACTCTTTAGAAATACTATATTAAAGCACAACTACATTTAATCCAGGCAAAATAATACATTTTTCCCCACATTTTTATCAGTGCATCATAGTTGTACATAGTGATGGAATTTGTTGTCACATATTCTTATTATGCATACAGCACAGCAATATAACTTGTCTAATATCACTCCACAGCACTTCCCCCACTTTCTTCCTGCCTCATTATTTATAAAACTTAAAGATACCAGAGTCCTGAAAGCTGGTTACTATATAATTAGATGCTGCTTTTTTAAGAGAAAAATTTTCAAACAAAATAATAGTATTTATAGATCCAGAATGTTTTAACAGTTAACCTCAACCACAACAGTCCAACGTGAGGCTACAGGGAAAGCTGCAGTGAATCCCCATATACCCATTACCTAGAATCAGAAACTATCAAGATTTGCAACACTCTCTTTCTCTCATCCATATCCCCTCTCCTTTACCTCTGTGCTAGGTATTTTAAAGCATATTCTGAAGATGCTTCAGTGTGTATCTCTTAAAAAATCTTGGGCATTTTCTTTTTAAGAACTTTATTAAGATAGTTATATACCATACTATTTCTCCATGAAAAATGTACAATTGATTTTTTACATTCACAGATACACACAGCCATCACCATAATTATATATTTTCATTGTTGTAAAACAAAAGACAATCTTGAATGCTGTGATCCTAAATTTAGAAATCCCCCAAAATCAAAATCCCCAAAATTATAATCCTAAGAGATTTAAATGCCAAATGTTGAAATTTTAAAAGCCGAAATCTCAAAAACTGTAATACTTATGGGCAAAAGACTATAAAAGAAGGCTAAAAAGCCATATTCAGGGCAAGGGAAGGGACTAGTGTATATTTGTTTGTATACAGGACCATTTCATGGGTAGTACTGGTATCAACAAAATATTCCTATTTTCTCCCTCTTTTATAACATCATTTTAATTGATATAAAGATATCTTTAAACATTTTTGTTATAATCACTGAATATCTTTTTGCTGTTTTTATTTTCAACAAACTTTTTAAATTCAATAAAGAAAAACAAGGAATTTTATTTTACCTTCATTTATGTCTTCTCTAACACTTCCATTTTTAGACCTGACTTATAACATTTTCCTTTCTCTGAAAAATGTTTTGAATATTTCTTACAAGGCAAGATATTCTCAATTTTGTTTATCTGGATAGTCACTTTTGAAGGATAATTTTTCTGGATACAGAAATTCTAGGCTGTGGAGTTTTTTTGTTTTCTTTCAACACTATAGATATTTCACTTGGTTCTTGTTTGTATGATCTCTGAAAGAGAAGTTTGATGTAATTCTTTTCTTTGCTCCTCTATAGATAAGGTGCCTTCTCCTCCCTGCTTCTCTTTAAGATTCTCATTTTTTAAAAAAGAATTTAACCTGTATTTTTTATTTATTTGTTTTTTATATGGTGCAGAGGTTCAAACCCAGTGCCTCACCTGTGCTAGGCAAGTGCTCTACCACTGAGCTACAGTCCCAGCCCTTTCCTCATTTTTTAAAATTTTCTGCTGTTTGAATATGATATATCTACGTGTAGTTTCTTTTTCTTTTTTTTCTTTTTAACTTCCCTAGTAGTGTTTCTGAGCTTCCTGGACTTGTACTTGGGCGTCTCGTGAGTTTTGGAAAATTCTCAGTCCTTATTTTAACTATTTCTGTTTTTCTCCTTCTGGTATTCCCATTGTGTGTACATTATACCTTTTCTTAATTGTCCTATAGTTATTGAATATTCTGTTCTATTTTTTTCTTTTTTCTTTTCAGTTTGGGAAATTTCTGTTGACTTCTCTTTGAGCTTACTGATTCCTCAGCTGTATCCAGCATACTGATGAGCCATTTTTCACTTCTACTATAGTGTTTTTGATTTCTAGTATTTCCTTTTGATTTTTATCTTTCTATTTAATTGGCCATCTCTTCTTGCTTGTTGTCCACTTTTTCCCTTAGAGCCCTTAACATATAAATCATAGTGTTGTTGTTGTTTTGCCTCACTGTTAAACCCAGAGCCTTGTGCATAATGGGCAAGTGTTCTGCCACTCAACCACACAACTAGCCTTTTTTTTTTTTTTTTTAATTTTTTAAACAGCCTCGTTGAGTTGCCTAGACTGGTCTCATACGTGGGATCCTTCTATCAAATAGCTGGGAGTTCAGGTTTAACCACAGGTTTTTTAAGTTCCTGATCTTATAATTCCAGAATCTCTGCCATATCTGAGCCCAGTTCTGATGCTTGCTTTGTCTCTTCAAACTTTGTATTTTGCCTTTTAGCATGCCTTGTAATTTTTTTGTTGAAGACTGTATGACATATTAGGGAAAAGGAATTGAGGTAAGTAGGCCTTTAGATTTTATGTTTATCTGGGTGAAGCTATTATTATTTGATGTAACCATAGGTATCAGAAGTTAAATTTTTCTTATTGTCTTGTTTATGTCTTCCCATTACTGGTTCCAGTGGCTTGTTTCTTGGATTCTGTTCCTGCTAACCTGTGATTCTTTCCCTGTAACCTCAATTCTCTGATGGATCTAAGAATAATTGTTACTTTTTTAATTGTTTAGCTATTTTCTAATGAGTTCAAGCATCACAACTTCTGCTCTTTTCATGTTGCACCAGAAGCAGAAGTTAGAATAGTCTGCATTTGGAGTTTGTTCTGAACTCAGAAGGGCTCCTTCAGTTAGCTTTTTCTAGTTCACTCTGGCAAATTAGCCAGACAATAATTTAGCCTGTATTTCAAATGAATCTGCCTATCTCCCATTTGTCTTTTACCACAATCTTCACTGGTTTTGACAGTGCACTTAGGCTTGATCTTCTCCACATCTGTTGTAAATAAAGTCAGTTTTTCTAGAAGGAACTAGGGACTATCTGTTTTATGACCTGCATTTCCCAGGCAAAATCTTCAAACCAGCACTCTTAGTAAATGAAACTCTTCTCTGTGAGTCACATCCCTGCTCTAAAAGCTGAACTTGTAGGTTTGAGGGAACACTAGCCTTACATCTTTTCAACTTGCCTCTCTTAGGATGGACCCATTGCTTTATAAAGAGGGATAAGGCCTATCAGGGCCCTAGTATTCTCAGCCATGTTGCACCCAAGGCAGAGCCTCCACTTCCTGAGTGGGACCTAGGTAGCAGAGAGGAGCCCCACCTCTTGACTACATTCACTCAGGACTCATTGTCTGCAACAGACAGCTGGGGGTTCAATGAGGAATGCTGCCATCCTGCCTCTCTTGGGGAGATAGTTCTCTTAGTAGAGGCAGTGGGGAGAGGAGCCTTGTGTTCTTGGTATACCAGTTTGAAGTAGAGTGGCCATCTTGTTGAACTAGGAGTGAGGAAGAATGGAACCCTTCCTGCTCCAAACACCAAAGACTCCTATTATTCTAAGATTTTTTTTTCCAGTGCTATGGATTAAACTGAGGGTCTTGTGCACAGTAGGCAAGTATTGTACCACTGAGCTGCATCCCCAGCCCATACTCTATATTCTTAATGAGTACTAATAGATTTTCATTAATAAACCTGTCTTCATGTGCTCTATGTCCCCAATAGCATTTCCCAAGACTTTTAGGTTGTTATCCTTTTATAATTTTTTACAAGTTTGCTTTAAGAGTATGTCTACAAAGCCTTACCACTGTCATGCTGGAAGTAGAAATCTAGACTTAAATTTTTATGTTCATAGTATCATTTTCACACCTAACAAAATTAGTGGTATTTCTTTGGTACCATTTAACACGCAGTTCATAACTTCTCCAGATTGTACATATTGCTTAATTTTAATAAGATTAATCAGAGTAATTGGCATTGATTAGTGTTCTAATGGTAAATAACATTAGAGTTCTTTAACATGCCATCCAGGGATTTTTTTACCCAAAGGCTAGAATCACAAATGAGGTTGATTTTACTCCTGTGAAACTGTTTGGTTTAAACCTTTAACTCTGAGAGAATATCAAAGGTGAATAGAACGTCACTCTGAAAATTGTCTCTTTTTAAAAATATTTTTGTGTATTATAATTATATATAATGGTGGGATTTAGTGTTACATGTTCATATGTGTGCACAGGAAAACAATATTATTTGCTCAGTTTTATGTTCCAGAACCTCCTTCATTTCTCTTTTAACAGTGGTTTAATGCTAAAGTTCATATGTTAAACATCTATATTCACATCTCAATGGAAGTTGGCCAGGCATGGTGGCATGTACCTGTAGCCTCAGCTACTTATGAGGCTGAGGCAAGAGGATCATTTGAGCCTAGGAGTTCAAGACCAGCCTGGGCAACATGGTGAGATCCTGTCTTAAAAATAAATAGGCCAGGTGTAGTGGTGTATCCCTGTAATCCGAACCACTTGAGAGACTGAAGCAGGAGAGTCCCTTGAAGCCAGCCTCAGCAGCTTAGTGAGGCCCTGTTTCAAATAATAAAGAGGGCTGGGGAAGTGGCTTGATGGTAAAGCACCACTGGATCTATAATTCCCAGTATCAATGAATAAGAGACTGTTTTTACCTCAAAGACTGTTCAATATTGGTAGAAATATCAACTTATTTTACCTTTCTGATAGATAATTTAGGAGCAAAAATTGTAAAGAGTCTTTTAATTTTTTTAAATTAAAAAAAATATATTTTTGTGGTACTGGGGATTGAACCCAGGGGCACTTAATTACTTAAGCCACATCCCCAGACTTCTTTTTTAAAAAAATTTAAGGATAAGTTCTAAGTTATTTAGGGTCTTGCTAAATTGCTGAGGCTGACTTTGAACTCACTATTCTAATGCCTCAGCCTCCCAAGATGCTGGAATTAAAGGTATGTATGCACCACCATGCCTGGCCAAGAGTGTTTCCTTTTTTATCCACTGATTTTCATTCTAAAATAATGGGAACAACTTATCTATTAATTTTGATTTTACATATCAGAAAAATAGTTGAAGAATTCAATGGAATTCAGATATGTTCAAGGGTAAAAAAAAAAAAAAAGTTTAATATAATCCAATTTAGCAAAACAATGTTCAGCTACCTCTATGTATTTAAAGAAAAATTAGAAGAAAAAGAACCAAAATGTGAATGTTTAGTTTTGTAGTTGTATAGTATTATAAACTATTTCATATTTTTTCTATGTATGTATATGATGAATTCTGTAACTAAAAAAAATTAATAAGGAAAACAAACAACAAATAGTATTTTGGTATTTTCAGTTATCTGTATGAAAAGAAGTCTCAAACCTGAGCAAATACTGCTTCATTTATCAGGAATACTAATAATTTTTTTTTTCCAGTGTTGCCTCAGAGCCAAAAAAACTTTATGAAATGCCAAAATGTTCCAAATCGGAAAAAATAGAGGATGCTTTGTTATGGGAATGCCCAGTGGTAAGATTTGTTTTTAGAGCATTTGTTTCTACAGTATTTTTAGCCTAGAAGAACTGGTTATTGTTAATATATTCCATTAAGGATTAAAAATTAAATATCACAGTGATTCCAGAATTATTAGCACAATGAAGAGGAGAATGTATCTTTTTATTATCATTTTCTATAAATGTTTTTATCTTTAAAAAATCATTAATATTATGAATATTTTAAAGTAGGTGTAGTTTTTAAATATTGAAAATAGGAAAAGTTAGAAACATTAAAAGTTTCATAATAATCTAAACTACTTTATTACTGTTCTTGGTGGATCATTCTACTTACTGAAACAGAACAATAAAAAAGTATGGAGAGCATCTTTTATGATATACAGAATTTTATTGGTTCTTTTTAGTTATACATGATAATAGAATTCATTTTGACATAATTATAAAAACATGGAATATAATTTGTTCTAATCCAATTCCCAGTACTTCCCCTTTTCCTCACCCCCTTTTCCCTTCTCTCTACTCTGCTAATCTTTCTTCTATTTACTTACAGGTTTTTTGGTTGTTGTTGTTTTTAATTAGTGTCTTGTGGATGTACATAATGGTGAGATTCATTGTGGTATATTCCTACATGTACACAAGAATGTTAGATCAGATTCATTCCGCTGTCTTTTCCTAACCCATCTCTTTTCCCTTCCCTTTATTCCCCTTTGTCTTACTCCACTGATCTTTCTTCTGTTTTTTTTTTTTTTTTTTTTTTTTTAATCCCCCCTACCTTGACTTTTCGGGCCTGCATTATTTCTCTTGGCGTGATGGTCTCCAGTTCCATCTTTTTACTGGAAAATACCATAAGTTGTTATTCTTTATGGCTTAGTAATAATCCATTGTGTATATATACCACATTTTCTTTATTTGTTCAACTATTGAAGGGCACTTAGGTTGGCTCCATATCTTAGCTATTGTGAATTGTGCCGCTATAAACATTCATATGCCTGCACCACTGTAGTATACTGTTATACCGAGGAGTGCGATAGCCGGGTCATATGGTGATTCCCTTCCTAGTTTTTTGAGGAATCTATAGTGCTTTCTGGAGTGGTTGCACCAATTTGCAGTTCCACCAACAACTTAGGAGTGTACCTTTTCCCCACATACTTGCCATCATAAAGCGGATTCTTACAAGTTTTCTCTGCAAATGTTGTTAGGAAAATAATAAGATAAAAATAACAAATGTGGCTGTATAAGCTCATTCATCAGACCAGCCTTGCCCTGGTACATATTTTTCAGAACACTGTTTTTATGGAATGTTAACAGGTATGTAGGTACCAAAAGAGTTGGGAGGAATTGGGCTGTGGAAAAATAAGTCTGGAACATTCTGAATTCAAAAAGTTTACTTACATAATTACTTCTCAGAGACTTTATAATAACTTTACTTACATAATTTTACATAAGTTTACTTACATAATTACTTCTCAGAGACTTTGTAATTCAAATAGTACTAATGTACACAATGACTATAAATCATTTTTCTAAATTTTTTTGGTTGTAAAACTTCCTTTTTTGGAGGAATATTTCTAAATGTAAGTTTTCCATGGCATCATTTTTTAATATTCTAAGTAATGCCTTTGGAATACTACAACCACTTAATCAGATCTTTAAATCAGTTTTCTGGAGCTGCTTTCTTTTTCCCTATATATTTATCTTCTGTTCATAGAAGACTCCTTTCAAAATATCTTTTTTTCCCCTCATCTTCTCATTGAAAGCTATAAATAATTTTGTGCCCAACATACTTTATATACAACCAGAGATATGAAAAATTGTGCTGTATATGTGTAATAAGAATTGTAATGCATTCCACTGTCATTTATTTTTAAAAAATAAATTAAAAAAATGAAAAATAATTTTGTGCCTCCAGCAGTTTAAGCATCTTAATCCATTTTCATTTTGGTATGGTAGAGAGATGACAGATTTCTTACTTGAGAAAGTTTTGTAAAAACACCAAAAATTTATAGAGAAATCTTGGCAAAAATAAAATTTCTAGTAACTTATTTTCTATTCTCCCTTTAACATTTAAATATTTTGTTCTCATTTGCAGTGAAATAATATTTTCCATGAAGAAAGAGTAAGAAGCATATTGTATTAACATTAACATACTAATGTGAAACTACTTTTCAATTATTACCTTTCTTTTTTGAGACAATGTGTGAAATCCAACTTTTGGTTTAAGAAAATAATTTAAACCTGTTATATATGCTGCATCAAATGTTTTTTTAATAGGCAAAGTATAAGTAGTATGTTTTTAAAAACTGAAATCCCCATGAAGTGATACTTACTAAGATATTGTAGAAAAAATGCTCTTATATCATTGTCTATGACCCAAGGATGTAAGATTTCCAGTTAATAAAGTAAAAGCAAAATACAAAGAAGCGATCATTTTTCTTTCTGTAACATTTGAAAGGGCATACACTTCTTTTGGGGCATATGTAAAATAACCATGACCTCATTTTTTCCTACTCTTTGTCCTAAGAAAATACTAAATTAATTTCAATTTTCTATTCTTAACTTTCTTCTTACCAACTACATTATAGTTCACAATTCATAGTAGACTCCTTTGCTCTTTTTTTTTTTTTTTTTTCTCCCTTCCTACATTAGACTTCCATCTTGAGGTAGCTCCTTTGTAACAAAAGTACCCAAACAGCTATCTACCTTTTCTGGGTTATTCATTGATGACAGGTTGTTTTTAAAAACAGGTTCATCTTTTATTCTTCTTTGGCTACCTTGATTCTGGATTCTAAGTTCTCATTTGAAGTTAGAATAGAACAGCAGTAAACTGTATGATAGTTTGCATTTTGTCGCATTCACTTCCATCTAAAGGAAAACAAGTTCTGTACTAAAAAAAAAAAGGCGGGGGGACAATAGGAACAACTCTTCTACCATATGATGTTTAATAGCTCTGCAGTTATACATGATTTTAAGAGCTGCTATTATTATAACAGCAGCATTAATACTCCTACTGTTATTATTGGCTACTATCTGTTGAATACGTAGTAAATAAATTACTTGAAGCACTGTTTAAATGTCTTATGTGAATAAATCCACTTAATAAGTTAATGATGAAAGTAATTTCCCACAATCTTACCTTTCCTTGCCTTAATTATCTTTCTCTGCATTTAATATTTCTTCTCTGGTTTACTTTTTCAACTGTCTTTAAGTATTTAGTTATTTTCTTTGGACATTGATTACTGCAAATTGTTCATGGCTAAGCAGTTTCACTTTTACACCTCATTTATTTTTTTAGGGGGAGGTACTTCCCGATCCATCAGATTATAAATCTTCACTCATAGCACTGACTGCTCACAATTGGCTACTTCGTATATCAGCAACTACAGGAAAAATCCTGGAGAAGATCTATCTTGCTTCCTATTGCAAATTCAGGTATTAACTCTTGAGTTTATTACTTAAGATTTTATTATAAAAATTTGGGAATGTACCCCAGGAAATTTTTAAAGCTGCCTCCCCCACTTTTTCAGTATTTACCCTGATCTTAGTTCTATAAACTTAATTTTTTTCTTCCCTTGTGACCTTTGAGAGCTGAGGATAGAAACCCTCTATCATTTATCTTTGGGTCCCTAATAAGTAAGTAACTTATACATATCAGTTGACAGATAAACTTTTTTTTTAATAATGTGTCACTCCTCTACAAGTAGTATTTTCTATGTAAAGTGTACTTTATGGAGGTTTTCCTGAAGGCTGATCTGTTTTCAGTTAAATTATTTGCCTAGTACAATCTGAGAATTATTATTTTAACAGTTTTGTAAATTAGATGTAAATTTTTAGAGTGTTTGTGTGTGATTTGTGAAAATACTATTTTTGATACATTTTGTAACTCCTCGGTTTTGTTGTTGTTGGTGGTGGTGGTGGTGGTACCACTGGTGATTAAACCCAGAGGTGCTTTACTATTGAGATACCTATCCATCCCTTTTTATTTTTTATCTTGGGACAGATTCTTACTAAGTTGCTTAGAGCCTTGCTGAATTGCTGAGGCTTGCCTTGAACTTGGAATTCTGCCTCAGCCTCCCAGTTTGCTGGGATTACAGGCATATGCAACTGCAGCTGGCTGATTTGTTTGTTTTTAAAAAGATTAATTTGCTTTTATAAATTAGGTAACTAAAAATTTGCTTACTTCTACCTATAATGTTTTGTATAAGGAAACTGACCTACATCATTAAATCTCCACTTCTTAAAAGGTACTTGAGCTGGGACACACCTCAAGAAGTCATTGCAGTCAAGTCTGCTCAGAACAAAAGCTCAGCAGTGGCCCGACAGGTACGCATCAGTAAACAGTCAATAAACCAAGAACTTCTTCCTTAGGAATTTGTCTGAAAAACTGTTATGAAAGAACTAATGATCTTTGATTTCTGAAGCTTGCTATTAAAGTTAGTAGGTAAGTGGTTTTTTTCTAAAGCATGTGATTAATATTTTTCTCTCCTTTTAAAGAATTACCTAAAGTGTAGAAATTTATTTCAAGAATCTTATTTTGGTTCTGTTGGTGACTTAATAGGGAAATGCTATAACAAACATTTAATTGAGCACTTTCTCTTAAATAGACATAGATTCTGCTTTTAGAAGTTTGCTGCTGCTTTATCTCCCAGGGATCTAGGGAGGAAAAAATTATTTTTGTTTCCTCTTGGCAGAGGTTGTGTTCTTTCTCATTTTCTGTGTTTATTTTTATTTTGTGTGTGTGTGGTTCTGGAGACTGAACCCTAGACATTGAGCTTGCTAGGCAAGTGCTGTACCTCTGAACTTTACCTCCAGATCCCCTTTTTAAAAGAAATTTATTTTGAGGCAGGGTCTTGTCAAGTTGCCCAGGCTGGCCTTGAATTTTTGAATTTTCTAAGGTGGAGGAGGAGAATCAAGAAGAGGCCTCCTTAGTAACTAGGATTATAGGTGAATACCACTACCCCCAGCTCAAATTTTTTTTTTTTTTCATATAGATGTTGAACACAGGGACACTTAATCATTGAGCTACATCCCCAACCCTTCCTTGTGTTTTATCTTGAAACAGGGTCTTGCTATGTTGCTTAGAGCCTTGCTAAGTTTCTGAGGCTGCCTTTGAACTTGCAATTTTCCTGTCTCAGCTTCCCGAGCCACTGAGATTACAGGCATGTACCACTACACCCAGCCCAGCTCAAGTTTCTAATGTGTCTTTTTAAGAATTTAATTCCTCAAGAGCAAGTACTATGTATTAAGGTTTTTCATTTACCACTGATAATGCCAATTAATGTCTTGTCAATATTTTTGCATTTCTAGACTTTATCCAGCCAAGAACTCGTAGCTCAAAAGCTCAAAATCAGGATATATAAACTATGCCTTTCCTTTGGTTTTTAGAAACTTGGAAGGAATCTATTTATGTCTTAAAAAATCATAGTTTAAAAGAATGTATTCTTTTTGAAAGGAGGATCTTTAGAGCTTTTAAACATTGCAGTCTTTTTTGTTTTGTTTTCTAACCTGTAGTTATGGCAGTTTTGATTGGTGGTCTTTGTGCTCCATTACTTAGGGTTCTGTTGAAGTAGAGTCAGGCTGTGATGGGGCAGACACGTTTGCCTGTCACAAAAAACAAGAAATTCCCTTCAAGCCAGTACTGGGGAAGTACAACATTATTTTACATTTCATAATAGAAAGAAATTGACTAGAACCTATTCCTCGAAGTAAAGGGGGTGTTCCTCTTCAAGCTCAAGCTTTTATTTATTGTTGGCATATATTTTTTTCATTTCATTTCATACAGGTATGTCAGTGCAACACTATTTTCAGGGATCTAACCATAATAACTATATGAGATTTGATTAGGCTTTTTCGGGGGAAGGTGGGGAACTACTGGGAGTCAGATTTGGACCTCATACATGCTCTACCATTGAGATCCCTTCCCAATTCTACTTGATTAGGCTGTTTATTACTAGAACTTCAGTATACAGGATAAATACACAGTATCTTGTTGCTACAGAATGCCACCTGTTCTTTTTACGTTTGTAAGTTTTTGTGTATGTCTGTGTGCACGTGTGTATCTGAAGAGCCAAAGGTTTAGCTGACATATTTTAAATATGTTTGCCTTCCTCTTCAGTAACTTTTCAGTCTAGATAAATGGATGTTTCAATTCGGAAAACCTCTGTATAATGACATGGATGTTTTCAGAAACAAAGCATTTCTGAAGTACTTTGGAGAGCTGCCTGTAATTTTAGTCTTTTTTTCTAGGCAGGCATTCAGCAACCCATTTTGTTGTACCTTGCAGTGTTCCAAGTTCTACCTTTTTCTCTTATAGGCATTCTAGAGATCAACAAAAGGGTAAGAACTCACTTCTTATTTAATTATAATATTAATTTTTTGACAATAAGATATAGTGTCATTTAATTATTTATTAGATGATTTATTTAGTAATGTTCCCCTACTATAAAATGTTCACTGACCTGTTTTCTTTCATATCAAAACATATGAGAACATTTGATTTCAAAAGAGAGCCTGATTATCCCTTTATCTTTCTGCATGGTTTTATGCCTCTCAAGTAGGTAGTGAGTTATTAATGAACTACTATTTTATAAAATTATGAAATGAGTAAGGTATGTTTTCCAAAGAAATTTCTTCCAAACTTTGTTAAAATGATCGTTAAGCTGCCAAAAAAAAAAAAAAAGTATTATTTTAATCGAAAGATGTAGGTCCAAAGTGTGATTGATGGTATGCAAATAAGCTTTATAATCACATGTAAATTTTTTAATTCAATCAGTTTGGGGTTCTGTTGTTTTTTCTTCATTTGTGAAGTTGTTACATGGGAGGAAAAAAGGAACGAGTTATAATTGAGTAATTATAATTGAGTAAAAGAATCAGGATATAGTTCAGTGGCAGAACACATGCCTAAAATATGCAAGGTCTTGGATTAAGTTCCTAACCAAAAATTTTTTAAATGTTAAAAAACCCACAGAATCAAGTTTTCTACCTTCCTCTGGGTGAATAATTATTTGCTGACCTCTTATACTAGACTTTAAGTATCTAAAATCATGAGGACAAGGTCTTGAGGGTCTACTAATAATCACTAGTAAACAAGATAAATGTATTTAAACATTTTATAAAAATAATACTGTAAAATGCATAAACTAAAAGCATCAGTTACTAATTATTGTTTACTTCGTGATAAGTGCTTTTGAGTATTTTATAACATAGTAACATATAATGTGTTTAATTCAGAAATTAAGTAATTATACAGATCCTAAAAGTGGAAGAGCTATGTGGAACTTTTTTACAAATAGACTTTTTCCAAATAGTGTAGATCACAGTGTAAGTCTTAGCAAATGCTGAATAATTGATAAATTCCCATATATCCTGTCAGACCATATGGAATGAAGCTTGAAGTCAACAGTAAGAAAATATAGAAATCATGTAAACACATGAGATTGAATAATACTCTTAAATGAAGAATGGATCATAGAAGAAATGAGAGAAGAAATTAAAAACTTTTTAGAAATAAATGAACAAAGATAGTAGATCCCAAATAAATAAGCTTAGGCTCCATTTCAAAGCCTTAGAAAAGAAAGAAAATAATTCCAAAGTCAGTAAAAGACAGGAAATAATTAAGATGAGAGTCAAAATATACAGGATCAGTGCAACAAAGAGTTGGTTCTTTGAAAAGATAAATAAGATTAATAAACCCCTAGCCAAACTAACCAAGAAAAAGAGAGAATACCCAAATCAACAAAAAGAGATATCACCACAGACCCTTCTGAAATCCAGAGGATTATCAGAACCTATTTTGCAAATTTATACTCTAATAAACTAGAAAATCTAGAAGATATTGACAGATTTCTAGATATATTTGAACTGCCCAAATTGAACCAGGAAGATACAGAAAACCTAAACTAAGATCATTATTAAGTAATGAAATTGAAAACAGCAGTTAAAAGCCTTCCAACAAAGAAAATCAAAGGACCAGATGGATTCTGAGCTGAGTTCTACCAAACCTTGAAGAACTAACACCAGTCTTAAATTATTCCATGAAATTGAAAGGAAGGGAACATTCCCAAATATATTTTATGAAGCCAGTACAACTCTGATACCGAAACCAGACATCAAAGAAACCATACATCAAAGAAAGAAATCTACAGACTAATATCCCTGCTGAACATTGATGCAAAATCCTCAATAAAATATTAGTAAATGTATTCAAAAACATATCAAAAAGATGATATGCCGTGATTTTCATTCCATGGATGCAAGGTTGATTCAGTGTATGCAAATCAATAAATGTAATTCACCACTTAAACAGAATTAAGAACAAAAATCACATGATCATCTTGATAGATGCAAAATGACCTTTGATAAAATCGAATACCCTTTTATATTAAAAGCTCAAGAAGCCAGGGATAGAAGGAACTTACCTCAACATGATAAAGGCTATTTATGACAAACACGGGCCAACATCATACTAAATGGAGAAAAACTAAAAGCATTTCCTCTAAAATCAGGAACAGGACAAGGATGCCCACTCTCATCATTTCTGTTCAATATAGTTCTTAAAACACTAGTCAACAATCAGGCAAAAGAAGGAAATTAAAGGGACACAAGTAGGAAAAGAAGAAGTCAGACTGTTTGCTGATGACATGATCCTATATTTAGAAGACACCCCCCCCCCGCATCAAAAAAAGAAAAACTCTAACGGAAGACTTTTAGAGCTTATAATGAATTTAGCAAAGTAGCAGGATACAAGATTAACTTCGGAGTAAATCAATAGCATTCCTGTATTCTAACAGTAATTCAGCTAAGGAAGAAATCAGTAAAACCATCCCATTCACAATAATGTCAAACATACAAAAAAAAAAAAAACCTTGGGAATTAATCTAAGCAAGAAGATAAAAGATCTCTACAATCAAAATTATAGAACACTGAAGAAAGACATTGAAAATCCATTTTAGAAAATGGAAAGACCTCCTATGATCTTGGATAGGAAGAATTAATATTGTCAAAATGACAGTACTGCCAAAAGTAATATACAGATTCAGTGCAATTCCTATCAAAATACCATTGACATTCTCCACAGAATTAGAAAAAGCAATCCTTAAATATGTTTGGAAGAATAGGAGACCCAGAATATCCAAGTGCTACTGAGCAAGAAAAATGATGCAAGACGTATCACAATAACTGCTCTGAAATCCTCAATAAACAATGACAGTAAGGAGGAGGAGAGGACTGTGTATCATAAAGATATAAACTATAGTAACAAAAACATCATGGTATTGACATCAAAATAGACTTGAAGACTGATGGAATAGAATAGAAGACACAGAGACAAACCCCATATATTTAGAGCCATCTGATACTTGACAAAGGTCTCAAAAATGTGTCTTGGAGAAAAGACAATCTTTTTAACAGGTGGTGCTGGGAAAACTGGACAGCTATATGTATAAAAATGAAATTGGATCCCTATCTCTCACCCTGCACAAAAAGTTAAAAAGGATTAAGAGTTAGACCAGAAACCTTGCAGCTGCTGGAAGAAAACAGAGTCAACACTCCATCATATTGACTTTCCTAAAAGAACACCAAAGCTCAAGAAATAAAAGAAAGAATCAATAAGTGGAATGCCATCATATTAAAAAACTTCTGTACAGCAAAGGAAACAATCACAAGTGTGAAGAGAAAGTCTACAGAATGGGAGAAAATCTTTGACAAAAACTCCTCTGATAAGGTATTAAAGTCCAGGATAGGGCTGGGATTGTGGCTAAGTGGTAGAGCACTCACCTGGCATATGCGAGGCCTGGGTTCGATTCTCAGCACCACATAAAAATAAATAAATAAAATAAAATATATTAAAAAAAAAAGATCCAGGATATACAAAGAACTCAAAAAACTTAAAACACCAAAAAATAAAAAAATAAAAATAAAAACCCAACCCAAAATGGGCAAATTCGTAATGTTTCCTGTGTTTGTATATGAATACAAAACCGGTATAACTCCATATGATGTACAACCACAAGAATGGGAAGTTATACTCCATGTGTGTATAATATGTCAAAATACACTCTACTGTCATGTATATCTAAAAAGAACAAATAAAAATTTAAAAATAAATAAATGGGCAAATGAACTAAACAGAAATTTTACAAAAGAAGAAACAATAACTAACAAATATATGAAAAGATGTTTAACATTTTTAGCAATCAGGGAAATGCAGATCAAATTACACTAATATTTCATCTTACTCTTATCAGAATGACAATTATCAGGAACACAAACAATAATAAATGCTGTCAAGGATGTGGGGGAAAGGTCTACTCATACATTGTTGGTGGCACTATGGAAAGCAGTATGGAGATTCCTCAAAAAACTAGGAATAGAACTACAATATAATCCAGCTAACCCACTACTTGCATTTATCCAAAAGAACTAAAATCAGCATGCTATAACAATACAGCCACCTCAGTGTTTATAGCAGCACAATTCACAGTCAAATTGTGAAATCAACCCAGATAACTGTCAGTAGGTGAATGGATTAAGAAAATGTGGTGTGTTTATATAGTGGGGTTTTACTTAGCCATGAAAAAGAATGAAGTTTTGGCATTTGCTGGTAAATGAATGGAAATGGAAAGTGAAATAAGCCAGTCTCAGAAAACTAAGGGTCAAATATTTTCCCTCATATGTGGAAGCTAAAGCACAATGACACTAAGGAGGGGGAGAGGACCGTGTATCATAAAGATATAGGGAAGACTAGTGGAGTAGAAAGGGAGGAAGGACAAGAAAGGGGAGGAAATGTAGCAACTTAGTGAAAAGCTTTCTAAAAATAAAAAAGGGCTAGAGATGTAACTCAGTGGCAAAGTATCCCTGGGTTGAATCCATAATACTGAGGGAAAAAAAGAAAGAAAGAAAGAAAAAAAAAAAAAAACTACTTAAGGGCCAGGATCCTGTGTAGTCCTATATATTTAAGCTGTTTGTTAAGATTATAAATCTTCACTAAGCTTTCTTCAATAGAAATAGACAGGTTTTCATTTTATATCTTGTTGCTCTTTCATTGCTATGAATATTTGCTTATATTGGCTTTTGTTAATTATTTATTAAAATAAGTATAGAATCAAGTTGTTTGCTGTAGCTATATGGAGACTCATGACAGAATCATGCATAGAACTTTGGGGAACAGTCAGTCAAAGCTTTATTCAAGGTTAGGTAGGCTAGATGTCTCTATAGGTGTTTGGTTTTTAATATGTTTGACTTTTGTATGAATAAAAAAAATCAAACAATATTAGAAATTAAAGAATAAGATAATAATAATAAACTGGAGGTGGCTGTTTCTCTTATAATTACTTTCCCAAGCTTTTCACCTCTTAATAACTGATAATTTACCTCTTTGTAAAAAACATTGCAGCATAAAGAATTGAGTCCCTGGCAGGATATGCATGGTAAATTCAATATTCATTAGAATTACCTGACCTTACTGTATGCCAATGTCCATAAGGAACAGGATTTGATTAATAGGTATTGACAAAGCTATGAAGCTAAAAATTTTGGTGCATCATTTGGACAGGTATGTGCTCTAGTCTGAGAATCAAATAGCTTACTGTTCACCCCTAATAACACCCTAGCCTAAAGTTACTGAATTGTAATTAAATTTTTAAATTTTATTTTATTTATTTATTTATTTGGGGGCACTTAACCACTGAGCCATATCCCTAGCCCTTTTTGTATTTTATTTAGAAACAGGGTCTCTGAGTTGCTTAGAGCTTCGCTAAGTTTCTGAAGCTGGCTTTGAACTTGAGATTCTCCTGCCTCAGCTTCCTAAGCCACTGAGATTACAGGCATGTGCCACCATGCCTGGCTAAATTGTAATTAATTTTTAATGCTAGGCAGCAAGGTTGTAATGATGACCTGAGTATTAAGCAAGAGGATGAACCATGGTGAACACTCAGAAGATTGGCCTTCTGGTCTTTTCTCAGGTGATATCTGCCTTTCCCCTCAGATTTTCGGGAACGTAACAGATGCTACTCTGTCTCATGGAATACTGATTGTGATGTACAGCTCAGGACTGGTCAGACTCTATAGCTTCCAAGCCATCACTGAACAGGTAGAGAAAACTGAAATTTTCTATATTTTACTATCATGAGGTTTGTACTGCAATATGATTTTTTTTTTAAATTAGATGCTTTTAAAATAAAGCACTTCTTATTTTCAACTATATGAAATATAGAATGGAAATGTAGAAAGACAAAGTAATCTATAAAAGTGGGGTGGGAAGATAAATAGAAAGGCTCTTGAATAAAGACATTTTCTCTGTCATATACATGTGAATTTTTTTTTCTCTCCAGACAGCAAATAAATAGGTGCTAAAGCCACCATTTTTTGTTTTGTTTTGTTTTTAGTTCATGCAACAGAAACTTGACTTAGGGTGTGCATGCAGATGGGGTGGGACTACTGGAACTGTAGGAGAGGCTCCTTTTGGCATTCCTTGTAATATTAAAATCACAGGTATGGCTGCTGTATAGTATTTTTTATCTTAATAAGTAGGCATATAAATAATTATTCACTGTAAACATCCAAATGTTTTTAATTATCAACTGATTTTATTTGTATACAGTACATTTCCTTACTAAGTGAATAAGTATCAGCAAAATTCTGTCATTTACTCATTGAACTAAAAGCCTGGGTATGCTGAACCTTGCTTGGCCTGAGACTTTGAAGTCACTTTACATTTCAATCTTTGATTTCCTTATCTGAAAGATGATTAGTTGCAGCAAACTTTGTAAAGTACTAAATTATAAGTTTCCTTATAATTTAGTACTTTACATTTTGTGACATTTATCCATATCTAAGAAAGATGTTTTCCAGGGAAAATATTACTACCCCTCTGAACATAGATGGAACCTAACCTAAATACAGAAAAGAACTTCCCAATATACTTACAGATTGACAAAGCTCAAAAACAAAATTGTACATAATTCTATATAGTAATAATGTTCTTTATTTAACTGTTTAAGTATAACTATTTTTTTTTAAAAATAAATAAACTGTTATAGAAACTCAGCAGTATATGTTAAAAGAAAAACTTTGTGTGACATGCATCTCAGGAATCCAAGAATGGTTTAATGATTGCAAAATGATATAAAAATCACAGGTTAAAAGAGAAAATACACTTTGTTATACCAATATCTTTATTCTTAATTCACTGAGATTCATTCCTTATCACATTGAGTTATATACCTTCTATTTCTAACCAGTAAACATTATATTTTTAAGTGAAACTCCAAAGGTTTTCTAATATAGGCAGAATAAGACAGGATATTTTTCTATTATTATTTACCGTTGTATCAATGGATCAAGTAACAAATAAAAGATAGAATTGTGAAAAAGGAAAAAAATATGGTTGTTTTTGTAGTACATGATAAGTTATAAAAATATTGAGAGTTCAACATAGCCAATTAAGTTATCCATGAAGTTCAAAATAAATATTTTAAAAATGACTCAATTCTTAAATTCCTTTGACAAGGTGAATTAGGCAACTTGATGAAAATTCAGCAGTACTTTGTAACCTCAGCAGTACCGCCTATATTCAATACAAATACACTAACAGGAATCTATTAAGAATTTTAAAACTACAGTCTCCAGTGATAACTAAAATGGGTTATCTTGAAAAGAATTTCCCAAAATGGTATCATTATTCTTGTTTATGTGCAGAGTATAAGTGAGTAAAACAAAGAACAAGATGGTAAAGACAAAGCACATAGCACCTGAACGATTGTGCTGTAGCTTTGGTCTCTGTTTTTTGAAGGAAGACTGGATTGGAGTCATAATTGTAAATCTGCTACTATTAAAATAGTGAAATTCCTCTGCTAACTGTTAATATGATAGTGAACCTGTTAACCTCTCTGGGCTTACATTTCTCAACTTTAAAATAGTAATTCTTGAAAACATGAAATCACTTGTCATTGTAGAATGATATAATTCACTGATTTTTACCCATTTGGCAAAGAAGAAGTAGTATGAAGCTAACTGGAAGCTTTGAATGTTTGTTTCATATGGTACAGACTGTAATCCTTGTTTCCCCAAATTTGTTTTTCAGTGTTTTTAAGATCTATCCAATACAATGTTTGTTTTAATTTTAAGTAACTTCTTAGTGCAAAAACAATTCATTATTACTACAGAACACTTAGGAAATAAAATAAGCAAAAGAGAAAATTTAGAATCTTTTTCTCCTCAAAGTTTCCCTGTGCCCCTCCTATCCAGTTCTCTCCTCATCACAGCTCTAAACAATGATTTGCTTTCTTTTGATTTGTTAAATTTATATTTTATAGAGTTTTGTATAAATGAAATAATATGAGGTACTCTTTTATTTTCCCATTGTCTTTCATTCAGGATATTATTTTTGAGCTTCATCTTATTGCATGTATCTGTAGATAAACACACTTTTTAAATGTTAATATGAGTAGTAAATAGATTATCTTGTGAAAATAATAAAGTCTCACTCTTTACCTGAAAATATATACTAAACAGATGAAAGATTTAAAAGTTCTAGAAGAAAAGTTGGAGAGTCTTTATCTCAGAATGGTGAATACCTTTCTAAGTATGACACAAAACCATAAAAGAGATTGATAAATTGATTATAAAATTAAAGTTGTACATTGCAAAAAAACAAAAACATAAACAACATCAGTTAACTCAGAAATCAAGTAACCCAATGGTATGGGGAGGGGTAATTCCTCAGTATATAAAAAGGTCTGTAGATCAGTGAGAACAAGAATGACAACAGTTTAAAAATGAGCAAGGAGGGGACTGGGGTTATGGCTCAGCAGTAGAGCACTCACCTAGCATGTGTGAGGCACTGGGTTCGATCCTCAATACCACATAAAAATAAATAAATAAAATAAAGGTATTATGTCCAACTACAACTAAAAAATATTGTAAAAAATGAGCAAGGAACATTGTTCAGTAGGAAATATAAATGACTTTCAGAGTAGTACAAAGCTCAAGGTCAGTGATAAGTGCATATTAAAATTATAAGATTCATCTTTTCAGATTCTCAGATATCAAAAAGAACTTTTTGGTATATTGTGGTTGGTGAAGTTTTAGAAAAAGCACTCTCATTTATGGTTGGGACCCTTTATGGAGGACAGTTTGTTACTTTGTCCTTTTTGTCAATATGACCTTCAAAACTTTTACCAAAAATTTAAATGTGGGGCTGGGGATGTGGCTCAAGTGGTAGCGCGCTCTCCTGGCACGAGCTGGGTGCTGGGTTCGATCCTCAGCACCACATAAAAAAAAATAAAGATGTTGTGTCCACCGAAAACTAAAAAATAAATATTAAAAAATTCTCTCCCTCCCTCTCCCCCCCACCTCTCAAAAAAAAAAAATTAAATGTGTTTACTCCTTGAGCCTAGCAGTTCCCCTTCTAGGAATTTACCCTAGATATATTCACATGTGTAGAAAATGATAAATGTACAGTTATAACATTGTTTCTAATTTCAAAATATTAGAAACAATTTTATGTTGGTAAATGATAGTAATAATATTTCACTATATGACCATATCATTAATTTAATTGTTAAATTGTTAAAAAAGAAAGAATAATTCTTTTTGTATTGTCATAGAAAAATTTCCAGCATAGTAAGTGAATAAAATAGGTATAAAACCATGTATATTTATTTGTATATTCATACTCCTGTTAAAGGTATATATACAATCAGGCTTTTAGATTTGCCTGAAATATCTGATACAAAAACCTGATACATAGTCATTATCTCTGGGGAGATATAGGTGAAGGAAGAACTTAGTTTTCATGAAATAGTTTCTGGTGTTTATAAAACACAGTATTTATATTACCTATGTCAAAAAGGAGTTCTTTGTGCATATCCCATAAGGTATTAAAGAACTTTTATATGCCACTTAATGGATGAACTGTAATATATTTAATCAATTTGCTACTTTAGCATTTAGGTTGTTTCTAATTTTCTGTGTTTATAAATAGTACAAGAATAATATAACTATATACTACAACTATTAATGAGCCTTGCCTGAATCAGTGTCATTGTAAGTTACAGAAAGTCGGTTTTAAAAATTACATTATTTCTTCAACCTTTAGTAACCAGCATTTTTCTATAAGTAAAAACTTCAACTCATCAACTTAAGGATAAACTATAATTCCTTTAAAAAGGCAAGGTAAATATTTATTCCTTCCTTTTACTAATATTTCAAACAAGGAGTTGACTGATAATTACTTTCAGTGGTGACAAAATTATATAAATACAATAAGATTCATGAATTTTTACTTACTAAGTATTTATAGTTTTTATCATTATTCTTAATAATACTCAAATTGTCCTGAATTTGGCCAATAAGAGCTCCTTTCTTTTTTTTTTTTTTTCTTTTTTTCTTTTTTTCCTTTTAGGTACTAGGGATTGAACCCAGGAACACTTTATCTCTGAGTTACATCCTAGCCCTTTTTACTTTTTATTTTGAGATAGGGCCTCCCTAAGTTGCCCAGGCTGGCCTTGAATTTGTGACTCTCCTCAGCCTCCTAAGAAGAGCCACCACACCCAGCTTTAAGAACATATCCCAGTAGTCTTGGAGAATTTCTTGTTTCTGGAATAATGATATGTCCCAGGCTTACTTTTTTACTCTATTTGTCCTAGATCTCACAAGGAGCCATTTTACTAGAGAATATCAATAGAGACTCTCAGTTTCCTGGGGTTGCTATGACGCCACAAACTGAGTAACAAATAGAAATGTATTCTCTCTCAGTCCAGAGGCTAGAAATCCAAAATCAGGGTACTACCAGCCCTCTGCTGAAGGCTCTGGGAAAGAACCCTTTCTTGCCTCTTCTAGCTTCTTGTGGTTGCTCACAATCCTTGGTGTTCCTTGGCCTGTGGCAGCATAACTCCAATCTCTGCCTCTCTTCATGCAGGCTTCGTGTGTTCAGATCTCTCTCTTCTTATGAGAGCACCAGTCATTGAATTTAGGGGCTGACTTATCCTGTATGTCCTCATCTTTACTTGATTATATCTGCACAGACCCTATAACCAAATAAAGTCATATTCACAGGTACAAGGAGTCAAGACTTCAGCATTTATTTTGGGGGGACACAGTTCACCCGACAACAAAGACTAAGACCTAGTTGTATTTATACATATTTTTAGACCCTTTCAATAAACACCTGGGAAATACATTAGTTCATTTTTGTATTTCCTAATTTAATCATTCTTTTTTGTTTAATATATGTATTTCTTTTAACTCACACTGATTTTTTTTTTTTCCCCAGTGCTGGGGATCCAAGCCAGGGTCTTGCATATGCTAGGCATTCTTCTAACTCTGACCCTCATCCCCTGCCCCACAATGAACTTCTTGATTTTAAATAAAAATTTATCCTATAATATATGATTGTCACTTAAAATAGCAGTACCAATGTTACTATGAAAAACTAAATCATGGAATGTAGGTTAAGATTTCTCTGTAGTTCCTTTGTCCTTAGTATATATAGACCAATCAATGTACATACAGAGTAATGTGTGCAGTGGTAATTTGAAATCATTTTTCTGTGTGATTAGGGTACCAATTTAATTAAGTTCATTTGTTTCAGTTTATTTTCAATTTTTGAGTTTGCTTTTTTCCTTTTGATTTTATTCTTGAAGTTATGAAATATATATATATATTTTTTGAAAGGTCAAAACTATGTGAAAAGATATACTCTGAGAAATTTTGCTTCCAACCTTTGCCCTTCCATCCTTTTGTTATTTCCCTCTCTGTATCTCACATCTGTCCTCAAAAATAACCATTATTTTTAGTTTATGGTTTATTCTTCCATTGTTGTTTCTTTTTGCAAAATTAAGCGAATATATAGATATATATTTTAAATAGTGCCTTCTTATACCAAATATGACAGTACTGTTTTGTACCTTATAGTTTTACTTAAAACATATCTATGTTTTAAATTTTTTAAGATGAACATTTTTTTGGTAATTATCTGTACATTAAAAGTATAGAAAATTCTGTCCTATTGGAGTCCTTTTTTAATAAACAAAACAACTATGTTAAAACTCTCCTTTTAAATATTGTTGGACCTTACACTGACTGACAGTATTCTAATTAACCATAATTGTTACTTTCTTTGTAATGACTGTCTTTCCACAGTCTAGCCAGAAGGAGTTTGTTTTGCTGGCTTTCCTATTCTTTTCACACTACCCGCTGCCATCCTTGTAATATCCTTGCTTTCTAACAGGATGGTTTGGATGCATCCAAAAATTTTCTCACCATAAGGAGTAAAACAGTTACTCTCTGGGAACTTTTAGGCCTTTTAGTTGAGAATAGTATTACAGGTCAAAATTTGAGCTCTTGGAAGGTTAGCAGGTCCCATCAGAGTTATGCTGTTTCTGAGCCAAATTTAGCAACTGTTGAGAAAAAGTATTTCTTCTAAATATGTCTGTTTGCATTGTTTTTCTGTTTTTAATTTCTGTTTTACATTCTCTATAACCTAATAAATTTTAATCCCAAATTAAAACTCTTATTAGAGTTTCCTGTTTATAATTCTTTTCTTCATCCATTATTGTTTGGTAACCACTAAATTATTACATGGTATTTATATTTCTTTCATAATTTACCAACTCTTGTCCTGTGACCATTTTTACATTGGGGTTGTTATATTTTTCTTATTACTTGAAAAAAACTCTGTTAAAGATATCACCTTTTCCTTAAAGGTTGATACCTCCTTCTTCCTTTCTCCTCAGTATTGTCAGTTTGAAACACTTCTCATTGTTTTTATCCTATGAATAGCTGTAAGTAGTAAATAATCCTCATGAAGAAGCCTGAAAGAGTACACACTTCTGTATAAAATGTGTGACTCTTACATGAATGGTCTTCCTAAGACAAGCCCCTATATAATAGTAGTGGCTTCACAAACCAAAAATTAAATTTTCAACTTAGAGGGATTGATGAAGAGTCAGTCATAGATTAGCCATCTGCCCAAAAAAACCACGTAGTGTTTCCCATAGGTTGCCTAAAAGGAGTTCTGATCCTCTAAAGCTGCAATACCTTCCACACTACTAAAATTGTAATCATAAAGGAAGACTAAAAAACACCAACAGAAATTTCTTTTGTGATATCAGTCTCCAGGAGAAACTGACTGGATATATCTGCACCAGGTTAAAGCTAACTTCTATGATGATAATACTAGCAGTAGTGGCTATCCTTAATAAAGCCTCCATGTGGCAGGCCATATCCTCAGTGGTTGCATTCGTTATGAGTAATGTCATCTCTACATTGCAAATCTTATGCAAGACAGATCTTGAAAAGTTACTGCATATACTCCTAGGATATGGAAGAGCTCTCCCTCATATTTAAAGGAATTATTAGAGCTAATTACCTGGTAGGATTGTTGTGGGAGTTAGAAATAGTAGCTAACTCAGAGTCTTACACATAGCAGAAGCTCAATAAATGGCAACTACTTTTATTAAGTACAGTTTATCCTTTTTTCTTTTTCTTAACATAATAAGCACCTTCATCTCTTATTTCTCTTAATTTCTGCTTACAGGCCACACATACCCCAAAAGCAGATGTCTATAAAGTTAATTCATAGACTGTTTGTTTCCTAACTTTTTCATTTCTTAGCAATAAACCTTCTTCCTGATTGCATTTTATTTCATTTGATAGAGTAATTTTTCATTAATGGAAACTCACAAATGATGCATGCAAAGAAATGTTAAATTCAATTAATAAATGGTCCAAGGCCATAGGAAGCAGGGATGCTGGTAAATTCCTTTTGTTCATCTCTACAGACTTACCACCACTGCTCTTTGAGGTGTCATCCCTGGAGAATGCTTTTCAGATTGGAGGCCATCCTTGGCACTACATCATCACACCCAATAAGAAGAAACAGAAAGGAGTTTTCCATATTTGTGCCCTAAAAGATAATTCATTGGTAATCATTAGTGATCGGACTTCTTAGTAGTAAATTTATATCAGAAATTCTTTATTCTCTACCTCCTAATAGCTCTACATTCCTAAGAATTACTTTGTTTTAATAATTTGTGGGAGTATAGAGAATATAGCAAATAACTTGTGTGTATTACCCAGAATCTAAAAATATAACATTTGGAAATTCTTAAGGTATCAAGAATCTTTTTTTCTTACCAGCGTCCTAGCAAGGGACCCAAAGCATCTCTCATGTTCCACAACGGGAAACACTGATGAAATATGTTCAGACTGCCTCTAAAATTGCTGTGGAATATATTATTGTTCTATTTCTATGTGATTTGTTGCTGTTTGCCTTCCTTGGCAGAATCAGATGGAATTCTGGAGATCACAGTATTGGCATTAAAACACTGAATTCTAAAGGATATTAAGTATGAATATATGGCAGAGTAGGAAGAAATGATATATGGCAAAACAATAGAAATTTCTACCTCTTGGATTCATTTTTCTTCATTTTCTTTTAAAACATGATTAGGCATTGATTTGCTATTTGATAAACATTTATCCAGAGCTTACAATGTGCCAGACATGACTGGGAATACATTTACTTCCCTCAGTTTGCCTGTACTCTCAAAATAAAGTATATATGTGTGTGTATATATATATATATATATATATGAATGATGTGGTGTGATCAGTACAGTGATTGAGGTAAGTATAAAAGTCCACAAAAGATGGAGATTTCCATTTTTGTTTTACATTTCTGTTTAGTTTATTTATGGACCCTCTTGATATATCAGATGAGCTTGTTTTTTTGAGGTAGGCTCAGCGTATTCTACCCTTGTCTCTTCCAGGACCTTGTACAGTCACTCTTGACACCAATGACTCACAGGTTACCTTTCACTATATTTAAAATAAGCACATTTGTGTTAGCGTTGTTCCCTTTGATTTTCTCATTTATTTATCACAATGGGCTTCTATTTGGCCCAGCCCAATGACATCCTCTTTTATAAAGCACCTTCTAGGGACCGTTTCCTGCCATGACAAATCTTCATTTGATTGTTTACCTCCTAGCCAGGATATCCTTCAGACACTGGGACCTGCCCTTCTTTTTCATTTAACTTTTATATCCAGTGAAACCCTGCATAATTCACATTCTGGACATTTAGCACATGTTCTTCTTATATAAGAACAGATAATACATGTCTGATATGTGTGTGTGTGTGTGTGTGTGTGTATACATATACACACACATATATATACATGTATGTGTTTGTTTATATATTTGTGTGTATACATATATTAATGGTGGCCTTCAACATTTATGCCAAGCATCCCTCATCCCTATCACATACTCTCATACTGTAATACCAGTTTTATTAATCTTTGCTGGGCAGTTTTATTGCTGTGACATTACCTTTATGATTCATATGCATATTACCTTCCTTTCAGTCAGAAGAGTGGATAATCCCAAAACACATTAAGTAGCCAAAGAAGATTATAGAAAATGTTTCATAGCTTTCTTTATTACCCTGAGCTTTAAATCTAGCATTTGATTAAATAATAAAAACTACAGGAATTGGTAATGAAGTTGCTAGTAGTATTTAACATAAAGAGAATTTTTTGCACATTCTATTTAGATATTATAATAAAGAGAATAGCCTTCTAAAGAAAGATATATATAGTATGTACAGTTTATATTAAACAATGGAGCTTCTGGAGCCAGTACCATCACGGATATATTAACCTTAACTGATGACAAACAAGATGTATAATTGCATTAGTTTTCTTATAAAATATAATAATAATACCACCATTCCCATTAGAAATAATTAGAATACTTGTAAAAATTAATGAAAGGCTGAAACTCATTTACTAATGTGATATATAAAATGTTTTAAATTCCAGAATTTTGGGAATTATGGTATACAGAGTGCTTAACATCATAGCCCAAGCCTTAATATTTTCAGCCTTGTGCCTACATACTACTTAATTTTAGCAACTTCTCATATTTTTGTACATACATGGTCTGGATTAATTCTTCTGTACATTTGTTCTGTGCTGTCTCTTCTTTCACACTGTTTTCTACTTATCCTTTAAGGTCTAGTTTAAGTTTTTCCTCCTGAAATTCTGTTCATCTGGATTGGTTTCTTGATAATTTCCTGTTCAGATATCCTGTTTATGCTCAATCATTTCATTTTCTGTACTGCTTTATTATTTTCTATTTTTGTTTCTGTTTCTACCTTAGACTATAAATATCTTGATGTCTAATTCATATCAGGTACAAATACCAACTGTAATATCTAAAATGTAGTAACCAGTCAATATATGCTATGGAATTTATGAACTCTAATATTTCAAAGCTTTTATGAGAATCCATTAGGTATGACATATCATTTTATTTTACATTTGAGAAATTAAATAACTTGAATAAAGCTGAAAAAGTTATATATCTATGTTAGTATTAGTTCCCAGTGCTCCTCTGTATAAGATAGAATATTTGCATACACATGTGATCATGTGTCATACAGGGTTTTTTCCAATTTAATGTATGAATATATTGTAATGAAATAAATCTCTTTTCCAGCCTTAATTGCTAAGCAGTATTAGATTATTTCCTCAGATATGAAAGAGTTGGTTTTTGTTTTTTGAGACAGGGTCTTTCTATATTGCTTAGGCTGTTCTCAATCTTATAAACTCAAATGATCCTTCCTCCTCAGCTGGAACTGTAGGCATATGCCACTATACCCCACTAGATTTGAGAATTTAACATTCATTTATCCAAGGAGATTGTGACCTGTGTCTGAGGCATTAGTGTGGTTGTGTTTATATGCATGTTACCCACTCTTCTGATTGACAGGTAGTTGGAGATGGGAAAGGAAGGAGGAAGTTGTATGGAACTGCATGACCATAATTAGGGCAGTTATATAGTGGAGAGTTCATGGACTTTGGCGTCAGATCCTTTATATAGCAAGTTCAAAAGTGGACAAATGATTTATCTCTTTGAGTATCAGTTCCTTTAGCCATAAAATAGAGTTAATGTTTGTCTGAGTGTTATTAAGATCAAATTAAGTAGTGACCATAAAGTATCTAATGTAGTTCCCAACACAGAGTACGTGCTTGAGATATGATAACTTGTATTATTATTTGTAAGGTATAATAAGTATATAGTATAGAGTAAATTTATGGAGTTTCTGAATTCAAATGTTCTCAATTTCTCAAGTTTAGGTATTCTAATGCAGCCCTCCTACACTCCAGTTCAACTGGTTAATGTTGTCTCTTCCCTATACTTGGGAATTTTTGATACATCACTAGTGTTAGATTTGAAAAGTTATTTGATTTACTCCTAATCTTTGTCATTTTTTCCCCCCAACTTAAGGCAAAAAATGGGATCCAAGAAATGGAGTGCTGTTCTTTGGAATCTGACTGGATTTATTTTCATCCTGATGCTTCTGGTAGAATAATACATGTTGGCCCAAATCAAATCAAGTGAGTAATTTCAGAAACACTTTTAAATTAAAAACAGCTTTTGATAGCATTTATTGGCATCTTTATTTTTTACCAGCTAACTATTGAGCCAGTTATGAAGATAATTAGTTTATTGTAGGGCGGGCACTTCCTCAGAAACTGGCATCTAGAAATCTAACTTTATTCCTTTAACTTCATCATTACTATTTGTAAATATTTACATTTGAGTATAGTCTTTGATTGATGATATGTAAGGGACTTACAGATTGGCTGCCCTTACCAGATCCTAATTCTCTAGGATTAATAAGAAATGAGATGATTTATCCTTATTCTGAAAGACAGCCCTAACACAAGAAAGGTAGTGGGTTGTTTTTTGTTTTAGGTTTTTTTGCTTTTACACGTCTCCCATAAATTGACTTGTCCTCCCTTGAAGTGTTCTCCATTTGGTTTTCCTGACACCTCAATTCTCCTGAATATTTTCCTCCTTCTCCTATATGTCTTTTTTGGTAACCTTATATGCTTGCTCTTCTCTACCCAGACTTTCTAATTGTTGAATATCCTCAGTACTTGGGCTTTCTTCTCAGTAGGCATTCTTTTTCTTCATGATTCTATTTATTCCCTTGTCTTCAAATATCAAATATATGTACCAAAAACCCTAACATTTATATTCTAACTCAAACTTCTCATCTAAGCTTATGCCAGAAATCTGGAATTCTTTTTGATACCTCACTTTCTTGTCTTTCATCAGCATGCACACACTTAAACACGTGTGCATTGTCAGGGTGGACGCTCAGACCTAGGAAGAAGATTCTGGATCTTGGCAGGTGGAAGAGGATACAAGATGCAGTTGGGATGATAGATTTTCTTTGTTTGGTGGCAATAACCCCTACCCAGCCTCATTTTGTCCCAACCAGTTCCATTTAACCCCCTAAGCCATTTCCATAGGCCTTTTTTTAATATGCAGGCCAGATGAAGGAGGCACATTGCCAATAGGTTATAAAAGTGGGTGCATGCTTATAAGCAAATATTTATGACCTTGAGTACATCCGCTGAATCAGGGTGTTTGTGACCTTGGCTACATACTAAAAACATAGCCCACTGAAAATCTCAGTGAGGGAGCCTAATTATAGCCATCTTGGGCCTGCCCTACATGCATTCTCCCTTTTTCCTCCCTTCTCTCCCCACACACACATCATATCTTCTGTTAATACAGTCTATTTCACTACTAAATATTTTTTAAGTGTGCCTATTTCTACCATGGCCACTCATCATTTTGGTCAGACAGCTGTCTTCACTAACCTTGACTACTTAGAGGGCGTCCAGAATCCACTCTTGGACTTTATTTTTTTCTTCTCAGCAGTGAGAATCATTTTCAGAAACATGAAGTATAAAAAAACCTAAGCAACTGAATTCTGTTTTAACCATTTTGTGGCTTCTTGTTGCTCTTAGAATATAGACCAATATAGTTGACAGGGTCTGAAAGACTTCTTCCCACTCAGTTAACTTCAATCATGCTGTGTTTTTTAGACAGCTGAGGACCTATTTTCTTGGATTGAAGTCTATCTGTTTTCTGTTCTGGCCTAACCCACATGTCACTTTTTGACAGAGACCTTTCCTGAAACCCTTGTTAGATTTACTCACCCACCATATTTTCATTGCATAAACTGTGTAATCTTGCACATAGAACAATTTTAATTAATTCTCCATAATGAAAGGAGAAGGTCTGTTTTGTTGATACCAGCAACTCCAGTGCTGAGCACAGTGCTTGACACAGAACAGATACTCAGTAAGTATTTGTTAAATAAGAACAGTGTCTGCCTTTTTTCTTCTTTATGCTTCATAATAATCAGTCTACCTCTCTTCATCTCTTCTTAGGAGGATGAAAGGATTTAACAAAATAAGTTTATTAACTTTTACAAAACATTTTAAACTGTGATTCAGCTTCAGTAAAACTTACTTTGATGTTTATTATCACCCATCCGTTTAATGTTTGTTATCAATCATAATTAGTTTTAAGAAAATAAGGCCCACAAAGACTATATGTCCTTTTGCCAGGTTTTAAAAGATAGATACTTTTAAATATTGTCACTAATTCAGATAACTAATCAAGTAATTTAAAATATTATCTGATTTTTGTTTGTTTGTTTCTGGAAACTCTGAGGCATGTAGCTATCCCTGGGCACAGTACCTGCTTCTCCCAACTGTGCTCTTTACATGCACTTGAGACTTTGAGCATTTGAGAACATTGTGCTTTTGAAGCTTATTGATGATCTGATCGTATTTGTGTGGGTAGTGAGCAAATTATTTTCTCTTCCTGAATAAGCTGATCCATGAGGTCATTTGAACTCAGAAAAGCCAAATCTTTAATCCAAAGAAAAACATATTGTCAGTTGCAGTTTTTAACTATTACTCTATAATAAAAACTTAGTTCAGATTTAGTTGCTAGTCTGCTTCATAGTTAACTCTAAATATTGTTCATAGATATCTCATTCTATCTTCAGAAATAAAAATGGAAATATAGGAGCTAGGGATATAGCTCAGTTGGTAGAGCGCCTGCCTCACATGCACAAGGCCCTGGGTTCAGTCCTCAGCTCTAAAAAAAAAAAAGGAAATATATATTGTAATGCCATCCTTAAAACTGAGATATTAAAGACCTGTTGCAGGTGAGAAATGAGGTTCTATAGATTAAATTTAATTAAGCCAGTTTAGAAGATGTTTAGGCCTAAGCAAGCTGCTTCATGCCTACTTCATGCCTAGTACCTGTTTTAACAGTTGCTGTTTCCTATTTAATAAACTCTCTAAGTTGGAAAGAGTTTAATGAAGTAATTCAGCTTTGGCACTTTGATGGTTTTTGAGTTCTTAGGTTTGTATTTTTCCTTTTCAGAGTTTTAAAGCTAAATGAAATAGAAAGTAATAGCTCTCAGCATCAGATCTCTGAGGATTTTGTCATTTTGGCCAACAGGGAGAACAAAGTAAGTCAGAATACTTTAAAATCCTTTGTATATAATTGTCTTTCTTTGTAAGAGTATATAATATACATATATGTTTGCCTTGAGTATGCATGAAAATAATAGCACAACCCTGTAAGTTTATTCATGTTGTCTACATGGGTCTTAGACCCAGGTACTTAATAGATTTGAAAAGAGTTGATTGATTGTATTGAGTTTATCTTTTGCTTATTCTTCTGCATTTCTCTTTTAAGTTTTTAATGAATTTCAACCTTTGGGTCCAATTACTTGTGCAAATTTAGGATTAGGAAGATATGGTAAATCTCTAAATTTATATCCCATACTTGAACTCCAGATGGTACTTTTCCTTTGGTACTTTTCCTTAGTGTATAAATCAAGAACATAAAGAAAATGATGAGGAGTGAAATTTCTAAAAGCAAATCTACTTTTTATTTACTATTTTTTAAACTGTTAAGTCAAAAGTATAAAGGATGTATTAAGCAGCAAACCTATAACCTTGTAATTAATTAACTTTTGCCTATTCTGGGATTTTATCCACTTAAAGCCTTTACCACAAAAAAGTACTTTTACTAACTGAAGGATTAGAAATCTGATTCAGAATTTTCTCAGTTAGGAAAGAATTGTGGATGTTAAAGAAGGGCTGGTTCGTTTTACCCATTTGTTAATACAATTTTGCCTTTAACTGCATGTAACAGAATTTGTTGTATCTTTTTATTTCTCTCCATGTGATAGAATGAAAATTTAGTCACTGTTACTGCTTCTGGACGGGTGGTCAAAAAAAGTTTTAACCTTCTGGATGATGACCCAGAACAAGAGGTATTACTTTAGCCTAAGATAACAAAGCATACCAGTGTGTACTTACACTATAAGTTTCAAATTATTACTTTTAGATTGTATTTGTGTGGGTGGTGAGCTAGAGATTAGGGCTAGGGATTTTCTCTAGGCCAAATGGTAGAATTGTGTACAATTATAGTGTACAGCCCCATTATCCTCTTTTTTTATTGGAATTATTCATAATATTTTGTATGAAAGTTCATAGGGCCAAAATAATTTGAAAACATGATTAACTCATTTTTTTTTGTTGTTGTTGTTGTTGATATATTTTCTAAGAAAATCTCTTAATAGAAAATTCCCAAGATTATATTAGCATGCCTTTATGACCTTTACCTTATGTTTTTACTTACTAGATATGGATATGTTGTTAATATTCATGGGCCAGAGGAAGTAGGTGTGAGGGTATGACAAATCCTTTCAGCCTTTGCCCTCAACTTGGCATCACCAGTCACCGAATATATTTTTATCTTTCCTTTAGAGACATTGAAAGTATTATAAAAGCCTTAAATATAAAACTATTGCATAATACTAAATCCACTTAAACCTTATAACTATATTGTTTGTATGAGCATATCAAGGTGGAAACAGAGTAACCTTCTAAGGACAGTTTTTGAAAATCTTCTTAAGTAGGTTAGATGTAGCCCAGGATATGGTGTTCTGTCAAAAAATTATATTCTTTTGGATCACAGAAATCTATTAAGAAGGAAGCAAAAAGCTTCCTACACCATATATAAAAGTATATTCAAGAAAGATTTAGTCAAATTGCCAAATAGTAGCAGAAGTAAGGGGCAGAGAGTGACAATAAATAGAGAGATGCTCTATTTCATGAGGTTATAAAGCAAAATCTTTTAGCCTTTAAATGAAAAGTTGAAAGGGATTCTGGCTAAAATCTATAAAATCACTAATAGGTAATAAGTTACATTTTGAAAGTTGACCATGGTAATAAAGAAAAAAAGTAAATAAAAAGGAATCATAGATAACAAATCTATAAATTTTTGTCATAAAGTGGTAAAGACAGAAAATACAAATGGGTTAAAAAGCAGTTTGACCAAACCTAAGTGAAGGATTAATTAGTAGTTGGTGATTAAGAGAAACTTTTGTGCCTTCCTAAAGGTTGATAACAGGCATCTGGTCCATTATTGGCTGGCCATGCACTGATCTGCCTCCTCAGGTTTTCTTCCTACAGGCAGAGTTCTGATTTTTTTGTTTGTTTTGTTTTTGTTTTTGTTTTTGTTTCTCTCTTTACCATAGCTAAGCCTTCTTGACCCAGTCCTGTTCTGTAGGCTGGATTTCAGTTCCCAATATTTCCTCTCAAGTATAGATAGCCACTTTTCTTTCTTTAGGGAACCAAAAAGGATTTTTAAAAGAACCAAATGGGGGCTAGGGTTGTGGCTCATCGGTAGAGCACTTGCCTAGCAAAGGCAAAGCCCTGGGTTCGATCCCCAACACAACATAAAAATAAATAAAGACCAAAAAAATGGAATCATAAAAAAAAAAAAAAAAAAACGGATGGCAAATAGGAGTCATAAATAGTGCATGATAGGTTATCAGTCCTTGAAATGACTGTTTTTCCAGAGTGAGAACTTTTAGAGCTCAGAGAGCAGTCTTCAGGTTTCAAATCTGAGCTTCTTATATTTAGACCAGAAACCTGTAAACACACATCAAAGGCAGCAGTTGACTACTTTTGAATTTGGAGAGGTCTGGTTTGCTGTCATTGTAGAGATTCCATTTTTACTCTGAGATATATATATATAAACTTGGATCCATTTGTCAAAATCTTTAGGATATTGCTAAGTCTTCAAAGTCTGAGGCTGATGTTTAGGCATATGAATAGACACATTTCTACTTTTTCACCTATTCACTTTTCCTTTGGCCATATGTTTGTAAGTAATAGAAGAGTTAAACTATAAATGTAGTAATACTCCTAACTGAAAAACTAGATTTGAACCCTCTTTTCATTGCCTTACCCATCTATCCCCAAGACTTTCAAAATTGTGGATTATGAAGATGAGTTGGATTTGCTTTCTGTGGTAGCTGTTACGCAAATAGATGCTGAAGGGAAAGCTCACCTGGATTTCCACTGTAATGAATATGGAACTTTACTTAAAAGCATTCCACTAGTGGAGTCATGGGATGTGGTAAGTAGAAATGATGGGACACAAAATTATGAGTTTTCTTTATGGGTGCCATTTACTGGAAAAGGTGTTACGTTTTACTTGTCCAGACTCGTCTATGCTGGTGACCACATGAAAGAAGTCATTGTCCAATACATGAAACAAAATGAACTTTCTTAAGCTTCCCCAGCACTCAGGGACGCTTCCCTTAGTGAAGGCCTTAAAAAGAAAGCTCTCATGTTTTCCTAAGACTTTCTTCCTTACCATAGTATGATTTTCTCCCAATTATGTCTTTGTTAAATGCAAAGTATAAGATAATTAGTCCCAGTTATTCCGGACCATCTCTAAGCAAGTTGGATTTCCAGGCACTCTTAGAAACATTTGTCTCCTCTTCCAACTATTATAGAATATAAAAGTTAAAAGGAACACCAGACATTCTATCCAGGACTTGTTTTATCAATGGAAAACTTGAGAGGCACCACAGCTTGTACCCCATCACACAGTAAAATAGATATTAGCAGTGTTTCACTATAGAATCTTGATATTTAGACTCCTAAGTTCAGAATTCTTTTCATTCTCTATATTTTATACAATGTTTTTTTTCACTAGTAATCTTTATATCCACAAACAATTAAAAATAAATGTTTTGTGTATTCATTGTATATTCAATGATCCCAAGTGACACAATAATGAATATGGTTCTGTGAAAATGAGATTTCATATGACTGTTTTTATTACAGACATATAGCCATGAAGTCTACTTTGACAGAGACTTGGTGCTACACATAGAACAGAAACCAAACAGGGTCTTCAGCTGCTATGTTTACCAGATGGTATGTGACCCTGCAGAAGAAGAATAAATCCTAAACAAAAGTTATTAAAAGGAGTGAAATAATTATAACTTATAAAACTTTTAGCCAAACAACCCAGGAACTGTGTTCCAATCCTCCTTTTATTATTTGTATGGCACATTCTGCAGTATTTTCCAGAAAAGGTGTTGGGTTGACTTCAGATGACTAAAGCTTTTACCATAGAAGGTGCTGAGAACTTCATTTTATGAAAAGGTTTGTGTATTTTTTAAAATGTTGTCCCAACAAGTCTAGTTTTTTGGACTTTTAGCTACGTGCTAATCCAAATATAAAATGCTAAAAGCAGAAAGGACAGGTTAATCCCAGTTGGTGTGGAGAGTATCACTGATGTGGAGATGTCTGACCCGGTTCTTAAAGGACAGTATGGAATTGTGATTGGTGAGGGTAGGAAAGAGACAAAAATAGATACAAATTATAGATTCAGAAAAAATTCTGTCTACTCTGTACCAAATTTTGCTTGAGGATGAAAAATGAGATGTAGAATGTGAAAACATAATTTTGAGCCAAAATGTTGACATTAGAGTGTTTTTTTAATCATATATATGTATATAGGATTTTGTATTTGTATACCGTATCAAGGATTAACTCTAACTCCCAAATTACCTTTCTTCCATGGTTTTATTCTTTTGGCTTAATGTCCCATTGAGTATTTGTGCTTATATTATAGACTAATATAAAAGATTCCAAGCAAACCTGAATGAATTTTTTTCTGATATGTAGCCTTTTTAACTCAGTATTTCTAAGGATGCTCTCATTTCACCATTCTATTTATTTTGTGAGTCTAACCATTTTGTTGAGGCAATATTTTCATACCTATGCAAGAAAATAAAGGTACTCTGACCTGCACCAATTGAATTCCCTGGAGAAGAGTTGATAAGGTCCCAGAGGAAATTCTTCCTAATGTGGAAATTACCCAATTAGCCAGAGAAAATTTTGGCTATCTTAATTATGAAAGGAGTATTTTTCCCTTCATTTTTAAGAACAAGTCTAAATATGGTACTTAAACTCCAATAATCATTCTTCATACTATTAAAAAAGGCAGCTAAGCCTTTATATAGGGAGGAAATGTTTCTTTATACTTCCTGTCTGAGAAATGCAGTTATTGCAATCCATATGTTTAGCATATTTCTTTGGTTCAGCCTCAGAAAAATAACTAGTTTAAAAAAAGAAGAAGGAAACATTTGTTTAAAAAAAATCATTGCTGATTCAAGCTTAAAATTAAAATGTGGAATTTTAGCTTGAATGATTTACATTAAAATCCTTCAGTTTTGGCTCAATCCCATATTAAGAATGATGTGAAATCTATTCTATTCTGCCCTTGAAAGTTTGGAAATAGATTTCTGATTTATTATGATCATAGGACTAACAAAGTGTTAGCTGTTCCAAAAGTTAAGGAATTGGTAGCAGGGTCAGTAAATTTAAAGGAAATAAACCTAAAACTGTCCTTTATGTAAAAGGAAAAAATAAATAAATAAGAAAAATTATAAGTTGAATATCCCTTATCTGATGCTTGGAACTAGAAGTGTTTTAGAATTCTATTTTTTTCCAATTTGAGAATATTTGCATGTACATAATGAGGTCTTGGCAATGAGACCCAAGTCTAAATATGAAATGCTTTTATGTTTCATATATACCTTATTCACATACCCTGAAGGTAATTTTATACATTATTTCTAGTGTGCCTACTGTTTTGTTTTTTTGTTTTTTTTTTTTTTTTGGTGGTGCTGGGGATTAAACTCAGGGCCTTATATATGCAAGGCAAGCACTCTACAACTGAGCTGTACCCCCAGACCTTGTGTGCCTACATTTTGACTGTGTTTTATCACATGAAGTCAGGTGTTAAAATTTTCCATTTGTGGCATCATGTTAGCAATCAAAACGTTTCAGATTTTGGACTTTGGATTTTTCAGATTAGGGATGCTTAACCTGTACTGACATTTTAGAATAAGCTGAAATATTTATATGTGAGCTAAAAATAATTTTTTCTGAATCTGATCCTATGTATAATAACCATCTGGGAAAGTAGAAGTGATTACCTCACAAGCAAGATGATAAAATTATCTTCATATGTTAAATTATAATATTTATTATCTGCTAATTGAAAAATCTATTTTGTGCATATTTAATAAATACTGTTAAATATCTCTTAAGCTTTCAGAGATTTTAAAGATATTATTATGATTACAAAGCAATTAAATAGTTACAGTGTGACAGTGTGCTAGATCTTGCTGCAAATTTTCAGTTAGACACTAGCTATATCTAAGCAATCCTGCATAGTAAATGTACATCCTGAAAAACAAGTCTGGTAAGAGGAGCACAATAGCAGAGAAAAGAAAGAAACAATGCTGTGTGAGCTTCAAAGCAGGTGCAGTGCTGTGTATCAGCAGTGTTTGCTCTTCATTTCTAGAGAACAAGGTTGTCTTCAGACTTCAGTTCTGGCAGAGTTCTGTTGTTTTTAAGGTAGTTATTGGGTTTTTCCTCTTAATTCATCGCCGACTTTTAGTAAAACGATAGAAAGGAACTCATCTACTCAGAAAGGCATTTGAGAAATACCTGCAGTGCCTGACAGGGTTAGGAGTAGGATCCTTCTAGTCTAGATAGGAATAGACCACTAAGAAATTTGTAATGTATCATCACCATTGAAATCTGACTAGACTAGGCCAAATGCCATACAGGCTAGGCAGGAAATACACCTAGTGTGAAAGACAGTAGGGAATTGTGGACAATGTAACAAACAGGAGAGCTAAATCCCAACTAAAAGGATAAGCTGCAAGTACTTAGTTTCAGCCAATTTAATAATATTTGAAAATGTAAACTAGATGATTGATAAACAATGCCAGATGTCTGGGGTTGTAGCTCAACAGTAAAGTGTACACAGCAGGTGCAAGAGTGCTGAGTTTAATCCTCAGCACTGCAAAAGAAAAGATGCCAAAAGATACTGAAGATAGCAAAGAATGTGGGAAAATTAAATAGCACAAATAACAAGAGACAGTACTATATGCTTCCCCAAAGATATGGGCTTCCTATCACTCTAGTGTCATGCACCTTCTCATTCTGCCACCTGTCAGACAGCAGACTTTGCTATTCAGTTTGTGGGTGATGGGGCATGATACTTAACATCCTCCTGTCCCACCTTGACCCTACCTCTGCACTGGCTATGTGACTCTAACTATGTGCCAACATACTTAACAAGTGCTAGTGACAGGTACAAAGCATTATGGGTACAATTTCTGAGTGTTTAATACAAGACCCAGTGAAGTAGGTTGCTTTTCAGCAAGTACAGACATTAAACTAAAAAGAGGTACATTTCTGCATTTCACTCCTTGATCTAAGTTTCTGTATTTTCACACTATTGATGCAGCAAGCTTATTATTCTTTGACTTTCTACATTATTTCTTTCAACTCTGGGAGAAGACAAAACAAATCCTATCAGTTACTGTTTGAACAGACAAATGAAGAGAAGATAACATTCTATTTAAACAAATTAAGGCACTCAACATTCTTTTACCAATTGAATGTTTTGTGTCTTATGCACACTTATTTTTAATAACGGAAACTTAATTTTATTATTTCCTGTATACCAGTCATTAAGACACATGTAAAATGGTTGTCTCACTTGATATTCAAAATAATCATATGAGGTATAAGCTATCATCTTTCCCTTTTATACATATGAGGGAAGAAAGTGAAGCTTATAATAGGTATGAAGGAAAGTGTTTAGTGTTTTTTTTAAGTACTGAGGATTGAACCCAGAGGTACTTTTACCACTGAGCTACATCCCCAGTACATTTTTTATTTTGGGACTGTCTCACTAAGTTGCTTAGGGCCTTGCTCAGTTGCTGAGGCTGGTCTTGAACTTTCAGTCCTCCTGCCTCAGTCTCCCGAGTCTCTGGGATTACAGGCATGTGCCACCAAGCCCAGCTTGTGTGTTTTAAAGGATGATTAAAGATCTAAATTTTGGATAAGACACAGTCAATACATCCATCATTTGACTAAAAAGATGGTTCTTCATTCAGTAGTTAGAAGATGTTTAAAAATGATACTCATTTTAATACTCAGTGATACTAATTGTAGTGACAATAAACATTATTTTCAATAATACGTTTCTTTTTTATTTTTAGTTGTGGACAGATACAATAACTTTATTTTATGAAT